GTTCTACCAACTTATTTTGATAGTTGAAATTTACCTTTGTAATATTCCAAATCAAACTATATTTTATAAAAAATGAATGGACTCTCTACTCTTGTGGGGAAAAAATTCTCTGTATTTTTGCAAAGAAAAAAGTCTAGAAGAATATACACAAAATATTAATAATGATTATTTCTAAGGGTTGGTATACAGTTGCTTTTACCATCCTTTTTCTAAGTTGTCTGAGAATTTTATAGTGAACATATTTTAATTTCATAATCACAAAACAAACTAATGGGATCTGAATTAATGGTATTTACCACATTTCCAACTTAGAACCCTTATGGTCACATGGGCCACAAAAATAATAGATTTTATATTAGAATTTCTCTGTAATCCCAGGCTAAAAATGGTGGTGTTCACATGTTCCTGATATGTTAATCACCCAAAATTACTCCCTGTTAAGGCATACTGAAACTGTAAAGCACTGTACAAAGGTATGAGGTTATAATTCATCTTTGGTCAATAAGGTTCAAATGAAATTAAAATGTAATATGACATTCTTTTCTAATGAGACTTGTGGTAATACATTTTAGTTGTTAAACTTCTTCCCTCTCTGTACACATTCTTCCAAGTTCATCCCATGCCTACAAGTTCTTTGACTTCTTTTCCCAGCATCCACCCTTGCCCTCAGAATCTCTTCTGTAGCCACAGTCCCACCATTTTGGAGTAATGAGCAAAAATTTTCCTCCCTAACGGTCTCTACATCAAAAGCCTCTTGCCTACATGCACCTATATGAACTAGAAAATATTAGGAGTTAGATGATATTATGGCATATAAAAGAAAGAAGACAAAGAACAAGCTTTATCTACTCTTTAATTTATGGTGCTGTCTCCATTCTCCCCAATCTATCAGTCCCTCTCAACTTCTCTGACTCTCAACTTCCTTACACTTTCTGTCCTTCCACCACATCCACCAGCAAAACTAAACAAACAATAACTAAAATGAAAATTTCACTGGAGGGGCTCAGTAGCGCCTTTGAGCTGGCAGAAGAAACAATCAGCAAACTTGAAGACAGACAATTGAGCGTATCCGGTCTGAGTAACAAAAAGAAAAAAAGAATGAGGAAAAATGCACAGAGCCTCAGAGAGAGATCTGTGGGACACCATCAAGCCTATAATGCATAATGGGAATACCAGGAGGATAAGAAAGAAAGGGACAGAAAGATTATCTGAAGAAAGGATGGCTGAAAACTTCCGAAATTTGATGAAAAACATTAATTGGACCAGGTATGGTAGTTCACACCTACAATCCCAGTACTTTGGGAGGCTGAGGTAGAAGGATCACTTGAGGCCAGGAGTTAGACGCTAGCCTGAACAAGAGCAAGACCCATCTCTACAAAAAATAGAAAAATTAGTCAGGTGTGGTGGTGTGTGCCTCTAGTCCCAGCTACTTGGGAGGTTGAGGCAGGAGGATCACTCAAGCTCAGGAGTTTAAGGCTGTAGTGAGCTATGGTGACGCCACTGCACTCTAGCCCAGGAGACAGAGCAAGATCCTGTCTCAAAAAAAAAAAAAAAAAAAATTTAATCTACACATCCAAGAAGCTGAACACACTCCAAGATAACTCAAAGAGATCCACATCTAGACACATCATAGTCAAATTGTCAAAGCTAACGACAAAAAGAGAATCTTGAAATCAGCAAGAGAAAAAAAAACTCCTCATGTTATAAGGAATTTTCAAGATTAACAGTTGATTTCTTATCAAAAACCATGGAGGCTAGAATGCAGTGAGATGACATAGTCAAAAACATGAAAGAAAAAGACTATTAACCAAGAATTCTATATCCAGCAAAACTATTCTACAAAAATAAAGGAGAGGTGGGTAAAGATAGAAAAAAGAAAAAACTAAGACATTCCCAGATACAAAAACTGAGAGAATTCATTACTGGTACACCTTCTCTACAAAAAATACTAACAAGAAACTTTCAGCTAAAATGAAAGGACTCTAGACAGTAACTCAAATCCACACAAAAAAATAAAGAACACTTATAAGGGTAATGACATAGGTAAACAGAAAAAACAGCATACATGTATTTTTTGTTTGTAATTCTTTTCTTCTATATGATTTAAAGGACAAATGCATAAAACAATAATTATAAAACTGTATTAGTGGGCTTAATGTATAAGATGTATGTGCATAGCCACTGTGCAATAATATCCATGCTAAACTTGTGACAAAATCCCTATCACATTGGGGCTAAGCAGTTAGGGCAGCAATAGAATACTATTCAATCTAGAAACTGCACACCTTCTAAAGTTCTATTAGGCAAAATCTCAGTAAAAACATAAAGGCTGTCACTGACTTTAAGAGGTAAGTTTTTCCATCACACTCCAAATTTACATAAAGATACACACATACACATGGATTCCTCAGCACATAGAAGTCTCTGTTTCAAAAAGGACATCTATAATTGGGTTCCCATTTCCTATTAATCAATACCTTAAATTTCAGCTATTTACCCAATTAACTCATGGAAGGTAAGGCTGAAAAATGCTATTATAAACTATGGTACTCTAAGATAGCAAAACAGCACACCAGTGATATTTATATTGTTTAATATAACAATGTATAAGAATTTTAAGAAGCTAAAAATCACTTATCAAATAATTATTCTGGTAGGGCATTACAAACACTTTATAATTCATGGAAAACCACCAAATTGAAATTTCTCAAATAATAATTTTATATTCTAAAGCAAACTTAAACTCATGGACCACTAGCGGAAGTTTTTTATTTTATTTATTCAGTTATTTATTCAAAAAACACTTACGGGGCACTTGCTATATGTCAAATATTGTTCGAGGAACTAGGAATAAAAAGACAAGGTCTCTGACCCTCAGAGTATACACAGTTCAGGGAGAAGTTCCCATTCTAGAATCAAAGAATTTATAAGAAGAAGGGACCTAATAGTTTCCTTATTTCACATATAAGGAAACTGGGACTCATCACTAATTTAGCCACTAAGACAGACGGATATCCAGGTCTACAACCTCCTGCCACATGTGTGTGCTCTTTGTACAATACTTTTTCTTACGACTAAAAGTGATGAAAGCCGGGCGCGGTGGCTCACGCCTGTAATCCTAGCACTCTGCGAGGCCGAGGCAGGCGGATTGTTTGAGCTCAGGAGTTCGAGACCAGCCTGAGCAAGAGCGAGACTCCGTCTCTACCAAAAAATAGAAAGAAATTAATTGGACAGCTAAAAATATATGTAGAAAAAATTAGCCGGGCATGGTGGCGCGTGCCTGTAGTCCCAGCTCCTCGGGAGGCTGAGGCAGAAGGATTGCTTGAGCCCAGGAGTTTGAGGTTGCTGTGAGCTAGGATGACGCCACGGCACTCTAGCCCGGGCAACAGAGTGAGACACTGTCTCAAAAAAAAAAAAAAAAAAAAGTGATGAAGGTGTGTTTCCATGTGAGTGAAGCAGAACATGGAACTAAGGGCAATATATATAATAGCTATTAAATTAGTGACAGAAATCCCTAATGGATATGAACAACATAAATAATTATTTAATAATTATTAAATAACGATTATTTAAATAAATATCTAACAATTTAGAGAGAGAAATCCCTAATAGATGGGATATCATGACAAAGCCCTAATTATCAATTTATTGAAGAACTGAAATAAGATAATATAAGAGTAAGCCTTCTGGCTGGACATGGTGGCTTACACCTATAATCCTAGCACTCTGGGAGGCCAAAGCAGGAGGATTGCTTGAGGCAGGAGTTCAAGACCAGCCTGAGCAACACAGCAAGACACTCTGTCTACAAAAAGTTTAAAAATTAGCCAGGTGTAGTGGCATGTGCCTGTAGCCCCAGCTACTCAGGAGGCTAAGGGAGGAGGATTGTTTGAGCACAAGAGTTCAAAGTTGCAGTGAGCTGTGATAGCACCACTGCACTCTAGCCTGGTTGACAAAATGAGACCCTGTCTCTTAAAAAAAAAAAAAAAAAGAGTAAGACTCCTAAGCCATAATTATGGTTTTGCCTCTGTTTTCTGATCTGTAAAATGAGGATATTATAAGTACTTATTTCAGAGGATTGTTGTGAAATTTAAGTGAATACTTGAAAGCACTTAGTAAGCCTGGTACCTTGTAAACACTCAGTAAATGTTTGGTATTCTTATGAACAATCATTTCTTAAATGCACTGGTGCGTTATATAAAGATTAAAAAAAAGAAACTAGCTTGCTTTCCCTTTTTTTTTTGAGACAGTGTCTGGCTCTGTTGCCAGGGCTGGAGTACGGTGGCCCCATCATACCTCTCTGCAACCTCAAACTCCCAGCCGGGCTCAACCAATCTTCCTCCGTCAGCTGCTCAGCCTCCAGAGTAGCTCAGGTGGCATGCACCACCACGCCCAGCTAATTTTTCTATCTTTTGTAGAGACAAGGTCCCACTATGTTGGCTCAGGCTAGTCTTGAACTGCAGACCTCAAGCGATCCTCTCGCCTCAAGCTTCCAAAGTGCTGGAATTACAGGCGTGAGCCACTGTGCCTGGCCGGAACTATCTTTCTTTAAGAGATTATCCTATTACTATCATGGTCTTATTTTTCTGACAACTAGTAGAATCTATCACTAAATTGTATTTTTCACTAAAAGTATTTAAAATGTATAAGATTTAATAATATGACCCCTTTCTCTATAAAGACATATCAGCCCTAAAATTACAGAAATATAAACATTAATTAAATTAAGATAATTAAGCATATTCCATAATTTTAATTAATCAAATCATTTAGTTCAGTATTTCTAAGATTACAGATCTGAAGTATTAACAGAATGTTCAAAGATGACTTTCAGGTAATTAAAGTTTACGCAGATTTTCCCATTCTACATAAAATATTCTTAAACTAATTAACATATGGGAAATAACCATGTATTGTGTACATTAATGAAAATCTTCTATATTAAAATAAATCATTGCCCAATATCAATAATAAAATAAATAACTGTATTTATATCCACTTACTGCAATCTCTCTACAAGCCGACATGGATATTCCTGTGCCTTCAATTTGCTTCAATGCATATTCCTTTTCATCTTTTCTGCACATAAACAAAAAAAAATTTTTATTCTTCCATATATTACTTTCAAATTCAAAATTATAACTATAAAAACAATGGAAACACACTTAATTTCTCAGTGATATGTAAATACTCTCACTATGCCATGTATTGCTTATTATTTTTGATAATATTTCAACTACAGAAATATGAAATACCAAAAGAAATTCATGTCACAATGAAAACACCAGACAGAACCAAAAC